TCTTATCTTATGTTGCCTTCATAGAAGTGTGACAAGTGTCCAAAAGAAAGAAAGTGTCACTTCGTATTGCCAATTGTACAATATTTGATACATGAGTTTGTGAGACTTCAACGTCATAACTTTTTCCCTAACAAAACTGATTTTAATTTATTTTTAAGCAATAAATAGATGTGGCAAAAATTATACAAATGCATACATATATATGTAAATTTACATTCAATTGATTTTTTTTAAATGGTCGGAAGTTTCAATAAATTCTCTGGTTTAAAAAAATAAAACAAATATTCTGTCAACAATTATTTACTTAAGAATTTCTGAGGAAACACAGAATCAGATTTCACCAACTCCTAAGTACGCTTGTAATACTTACAGTTTCTACAGTACAAAGGTAACATTTTGCATTTCTTTATTGTATATGTGGACGTTATTATTCACGAAACAAAACAGAAAACAGGGTCTTATTCAGATCTGACGTATATGATTTTTTTCTTTATATAATGAAAAGTATACAACACACAGAGAGACATATAATTGCTATTAAAAATACCTTTACGTTTGGAAATTTAGTTTTACAGATTTCACATGGATATAGTTGCCTTATTGTCATTTGCTTTGAAAATTCATAGGCCTAGATTAAAAAAAAAACAAAAAAACAAAAAGAACAACAACATCTCCCGATTCAAAACAGGAGAAATTCGGCTGAAATTTATAAGTGTGCCCTTAAAAAGAGTGACCAAAACACAAAGGTGACGTGAATATACACTAGAAAAGAAGTAAGTTAGACTAAGTTATCCAATTCAGAGTGGACGATAATAAATAAATAAATAAATAAATAAGATCAAAACAGCTTATTCCAAACTTCCAAACGTGCGATCTGTTTATTGTTGTTTGAAGACTATCATTGCAAATACCTTCAACAAAAACAACAAAACACCATAGAATATATAGCTAATATGATCTCATCTCTTTAAGCAGACAGAAAGAGACAGAAGTGAAATTAGGAGGCATTTGCCATCTATGATATACAATAGCAAACGGGAGAGCTAATTTAGATGTGATGGATACCTTCCATACTGTGAAAAGCCCTCACCTTGCTCTTCACGCTGGTGCCGGTCTCCCCAAAAGACCTGGCAAGCAGTTTTTAAACCTGAAAGTTGTCAAAACGTGGGTTCAATGCAAATGTTCCGTCTTCGCTGCTTCGACAGTAAAACGTCGACTCACGAAAGTGGAGAATGAAAAAAAAGGAAGAATGAAAACTTACCTATGTCAGAAAAAAGAGTGGGCATTCGTCCTCCCTGCCCTTGCACTTTCCCCACACTGCTGTCGCGACATCTGTGGACAAAGCAAACTTGAAGAAATTTCTGATTATACGTTGTTAATCAGAGGAAACCGTGTTCAGAAGAAGCGCGACAAGCTGTCATAACCGCGCTGAGCTGAGGACCACAGGACAGAGACGCGCTGAGAAATAACCCGGAAAAGAGGGAGGGGTTCAGGAAACTAATTACAGCTCAAGTCTTAAAAAAAAAAACCCGAAAGAAATAAACGAACAGAAAAGCAAGAAAAAGCAGAAAGACGTGTTTTGTGTGTAATCATTGGTTTGTCTCTGTAGTAGGTAAAAATAAATAAATAAAAAAAACAAAACTTGTTTTAAGAGGGGGTAAGGAGCAAATAAAAAACGGTTTCCCCTGCAAATGCGCTTTGCTGAAACGACTGCTTCCTGAACAAATCTGGTTAAAATAGTTTGAATTAAAACCCCGTGTCTGGAGTCATCTGAACTCACTAAGGGAAGGGTGAGAAGGAAGAAAGCTGTACCAATCGTGGGAGCTCTCAAGACTTAAAACTTGGAGGTGGTGTGTGAGAAAACTCAACAGTGAGGTCATTTCTATGTTTTTTGGGGGGTGGGGGGTGGAGGAAGAATAAAAAAAAATCAATCTACGACGGTCGTTCAGTGACTTGGCTTTGTTCTGAAATAACACAATCCTGATTATCTCTTTATGACAGAAAAGCAAACTAATTCTTCAAAAGAATTCTAGGATACTGGCTTAAACGCATTTAAACTATAATCAGCCTATTAAAACACACGTGAAAATTAAATATGCTACCTACACGAGTGACTAATATGAGCCAGGTTGGAATGTAGATTGGTGATTTTGCTGGGTCATAAATGTCAACTCAAAGTCATGCAAATTGGTTATTATTATCAGTAATGCCATGAAAGTCATACTTATATACACCATGCAAAACAAAAGTCCAGGCATTTGTTGAAAAAAAGCATAGCGTGCAGGTGTGCAGGCATATATTGGTCTGAGGTGTGTCTTTTTTTTCCTTCTCTCTTCAAGTTGGTTTTATGAAGCTAACCTAGAAAACAAAAATACAAAGAAACTGAAAGAAACACCGGAAACCACTTACGTTTTTTTTGACAGTTTTACATGTGACACAACTAACAGAGAGCCATTAAACCCAGTCACATGCTTTATTATACTTTAGAAACAAATATTGAAAATGAAATGCAATGCAAATGCTGTTTTTAAACCAATGAATCTATTTATAAATGAAAGAAAAATTACTTTCAAAAATTAAAAGAAGAATTAAAACCCCCACTGGGATCTGCTCACTCTCTCACCCACTCTCTGTCTGTCTTCCGAGAATAAGCCTCGCTTCACTGAGCATGTGCGAGAGGAAAACAAATACTGTTTCCATTTATTACAGTCATCACCAAACAGTGGTTGCTTAACACTACCAAGATATTTTTCATATAAGAAAAGCTCATAAAAGTTCTCATAAGAGTTCGACACTGTTATATAAAATTTCCACATTCAACAAGATGAAAGGACAATCATATTTTAACTATCTTACAGTCTTTTCTGCTCAGAAATGTTCTTTAAATACAATAAAGGTGAAAGGGAATTACGCCTAGCTGGTTTATATGATTATAATATTGTGGCTGTGAATATGTTGTAAGATTATACTGGATGCAAATTAATAATGAGACCTTTGGATGGAAAATATTCCTGCTAGTGTTGTATATAAGAAGAAAAGTCAGATTAGGAACCATAACAGGAGCCAGAGGGTTGGGCCAACAAAAAAAAGAAAAAAAGAAAAAGAAAAAAATGCTGTTAGACTGCTGTAAACCTATCCAAGAGCCACCTTCTGCACACTGTGAAAGGCCACTCTGTCTCTGCCAAGTTCCCAGCCTGGCTCCAGGTTTTCATACATAAGCACAGCTTTATGTAGGAGTGACCACTATGTGAGCACAATATAAACACAAATATTTCAGGTCTTGAAGCTTGATTCAAACAGCTAGATCAAGGGCCTTATTCACAAAATATCCTTAGACTAAAAGTCGATTATGACAGATTCAGTAAGTAGGTAAGTAATTACTTAAGGAGTTATTTGATCAAAAAATGTTGAGGCAGTCTTTGTAGGCAAATGAAGGCAATGCATAAGAAAAAAAACCTCATAACCTCAGCATCTAGCTACAGCTCTGTGAAAAAGTATTTACCTCCTTCCTGATTCCATAGCTTTGTTTTGTTTTTTCATATTCGTCGCACTCAAACAGTGTAAAAATTAAATTTAATATTATACAGACATAATCCAAGTAAATACAAAATGCAGTTTTTAAAATTAAATGGAGCAGTGTGGTTATTAGCACTGTTGCCTCACAGCAAGAGTTCAATTCCACCACCTGGTTGGGGCCTTTCTGTGTGGAGTTTGCATGTTCTCTCCGGGCACTCCAGCTCCCACACATGTCCAAAGCCATGCAGTTAGTGGGGTTAGGTTAATTGGTAATTCTAATTGGTAACTCATGAATGTGAGTGCGGATGGTTTCTGTCTCTATGTGTTAGATGTGGAACAGACTGGTGATATGGTGGCTGGGATGGGTGATCCTGACATCCTGCTCTTTGGATGTTATCAGATGTTATCTGTCCATTCAATGGATGCTTGGAAAGACAGAAGAACCCAGAAAAATATTTAAAGAACTGCAGGCTACTCTCACTTATGGTCAGTGTTCATGATTCAACAATAAGACAGACACTGGTCAAAAATGGCATCCACGGGAAAGTTCCAAGGAAAGTACCACTGCTGACTAAAAAAACACAAAGATTATTCTCGCATTTACAAAAAAATATCTTGATGATCCCCAAGGCTTTTGGGAAAATATTCTATGGACGGATGAGAAAAAGTGGTTTTTGAAAGGATGAGAAGTTTTTGAAAGGTTTGAGTCCCGTTACATCTGGGGTAAAACTAACACAGCATTTCAGAAAAAGATCATCATATCAACAGTCAAACATGGTGGTGGTAGTGTGATGGTCTGGGCATCCTTTGCTGCTTAAGGACCTGGGTGAATTGATGGAACCATGAATTCTGCTCTTTACCAGAAACAGCAAAAGGAGAATGTCCAGCCATCAGTTTCAGCTGAAGCACACTTGGGGTATGCAGCAGGACAAAGATCCAAAAAACCACAGCAATAAATAAATAAATAAATAAACGGAATGAAGGTTTTAAAGTAACCTAAAGTCTGGACTCAAAAACGAATGAAAATCTTTGGTGTGACATTAAACAGTTTATTTAAGCTCCAAACCCTTTAATGTAGGTGCATTTAAACAATTATACAGACGAGTGGGCTAAGATTCTTCCACATTGCCATTGTCATTGTTATCACCCAGTTATTGGGTTTAAGTTTTGTTTTTTGTTTTTTTTAAAAGGGGCCAAGGAAAGTTGAAAAAACCTTTTCCCAAAAAAAAAAGGGAACAAAAATTAAAAAACGCAAAAAAAAATCTCGCTGGACAAAAGTAGTGGGCCACTACCTTCGTATCTAAATTAAAAAAAGCAGAGACGTGATCCACATGAACAGCGTTGATAAAAGCCACAGATGCAGACAACGACCACTGATTATTCTTGAGGGCTTGTTTGTGTTAAATAAAATAAGATACACTGTACTACTAAACTACTAAACGGTATAACGGCAACAGCCTCAATTAACTCAGCAGGAGCTTGGAGCCGGAAGCAGGGTTCATACGTCAGGACTTCACAAGCGGATTGACGTCAGTATTTCCGGATCGCCATATTAGTTTCATTACATCAGATCAGGCAATGTAGCAGGCTAAGCGATTTGTGGGAAGGGCACTGTCGCTATGGAAAGGACTCTCTGACCACGAAGAAACTCTTTGTATGTTCACAGGTTTCCGTATAATGCAGAGTAGTACTTAAAATGTAATGAGCCTGGGGGATAAAGTTATTTTGGTGACAGGCTGTAAAATTAGTCAGCGTAGCTAATGTTGACCGATGTTACGGTAACTAGCATTAGCTAAGCTGCGCTAATATAGCCTCAGTGTGTTAACATCTAGGTAATGCTAACCAGGAG